GAATTTTTAAGTTAAATACAACTGTAATATATCAAAATCTAAGTTAGTCCTTCCTCTATTTAATGCAAGTTATTTCTCTTTAAAAACTTTACTTGTTTAGAAGTTATTACGAATCAAACAGGAGTACTTTTTTTGGGGCCACCCGGTACAGTGATTAACGCTAACTACAGTTAGCGCTAACTACGTTTTTATACAACCGGCCCCTGAGTTTTTACTCCTTCCTGTCTATAGCAAGACTAAAAGCAAAAATTAGCAATTTTCTCAATTTTTATACGACCTAGGAAACGAGACCCGTAAGACTTGAAACAGGCAACTATACCGGTACAACCTTTTGTCCAACTTTTGAAACAGTCAATCAAATCACTGCAAACATTATCCACGCACTTCGTGCAGCAATGTCTATTATAGGTAGTTGTCTGAACCAATCAGAATAAAGCTATTTGTTAATGCCTGAAATTTGTGCGAAATCTTTTGGTGAAAAATAGGATAACAAGGTCTAGGATATTATACAACAGACACTTACCTGCAACAAACACATGGACATCAGATTTAGTTAATGTATTCTTTACCAAAATACTAAATCTGTACACTCCATTGTACTGGATATTAACGTTCTTTAAAGTCAAGGTTGAAGGCTTTGTTATTGTAAATGGCCCTGGTGAGAATTGGGTGTCTTTCTTCACCTCACCATCAACAACGATTTTAGCGAAAGCGTCGTCCACGCCCTTTGGAAGGAATGTCCACGACCGAATCAGTACGTCAGATAGACTGGCATCAATTGTCCAGGCTATTGTCACATCGTCTCCAGGGAGCACGATCGAGGTGTTCCCACCAGGTGGGAGGGAGATTTGACCTACACAAAGAAATATTTATAATCAATACAGTGCTGTTAAATAATCTAAATTTTAAACATACAGTATTAAATTTCAAGAGCAATTTCTTTTCATGCATACAGTAGGTATCTTTAGAATTAACACGACTATCCTTGCACTATTCACCGACACCGAGGTGAAGAATTGTTTCAGCACATACCATAAGGCGTAAACAAAAATTACCAAAACACAACGAAAATATTTTTAAAACAATTTGTACTACAGCTCCCTGTAATAGCTGTAAACTAGAAAATACATGCATGCAGAAACCCTCGCCTTGCTGACAAAACCATTGTATTTTCCGAACATGAAGTATCTAAAGTAGTTGTCATGGTAACACGATAATTTTTTAAGAATATTTTTACAAATGAAAAATCGCCTAAAAATATCATTTTTAATTACAAAATTATCAATTTCCCAACATATATATGTTAGGTATGATATTATACGTAATATAAGCTTCAATTTAAGGTAAAATTCAACCACAAACGCTTCGGCAGTTTATAAAACTAAACTGCCTTTAATTAAATGGCTTTATCGATAAATTTTGAGTTTGCAATAAAATGATTTCAAATTCTCGCATGTAAAAACTTTGCTTTCTTTTTTATTTAAAAAATTCAATATAATAAAAAAGGGAATCAATATTAAAGATACACTGAAATTATATTCTGTCTTGTTTAGTTGTTTCATATACGCAAACGCCGTCGGGTTTTAAAGCAATTATAAAATCATTATTTAAAACAAACTTACCTTCGTTAACGTCGGCTCCCTTTTTTAGTCGATTCTTTCGCCCTTTCTTTCTTAAAATTTACAAAATCTTGCAAAAAATTGCGAGCAAAAATGAAATATATTTGCAAGAAATTTATCAATCATCAAAATCAAGAAATGTTTGCTATTTCGCTGTCGTCATGCAGTCGTTATAATGCAAACTTTAAATTGGACCAATCACAGTGTTCGCTAAGGCCTATGATTCGTTGAAGCCCGCGCGCGGGAAAATCAGCTTTCAAAAGGACTAAGGCACAGATGAGGTAAGTAACTAAGGAGAGTTTCGAGTAAAAAAAATTCGGTCAAAAGGTTGTTTTCGAAGAAAAATGTGCAAGAAAAACACTTTTTTCATGGGAATAAAACAATATTAAGTCATATTAAGTCATATTTGGAGCTCGACCCGCGACAATTCTCTGCGAAAGCCTTCATTTCCATTTAAAACCATTTACCGTTATGGCCTGCAGTTCGACATCAAGAACAATAAAGTGCATGTTTTCTTATGTATTCTACTCGCTGGTGATGTAGCTACCAATCCTGGACCCACGAGAAGAAACAACCATCAACCAAACGGCAGCCAAAGTTTTTTCGCGAGATGTCTTGTAATCAACGCTCGAAGTTTAATAAGCTCGCATAGGTTAAATGGTAAACAATCCTGCCACTTGACTAACTTCCAAAACCTTGTGTACACCGAACAAGCGGACATCGCGTGGGTAACAGAGACTTGGCTAAGAGATGACATCGAGAATTCAGAAATACTTCCCTGGAGTGATTATACAATCTACCGTAAAGATCGTAAAACTCGTGCTGGTGCCTGGTGGAGTTCTTCTTGCACTAAAGTCTAGCTCCTTTTTGTCATCTCGCGAGATTGTTACTGATAGCGATCTAGAACTAGTTGCAATAGAATTAACATCTACCTGCAACAAGAAATACCTGGCATGTTGTACGTACAAGCCCCCGCAGACTATGAACAGGAAATGGCTGGACGAGTTCAACATCTTTTTGGCTAATAAGTGTTCAGATTACGCCAACATACTGATATGCGGTGACTTCAACTTCCGAAGATCTGTTGGGAATCGCCAGAGTTAACAGCCGGCGAAGACGAAGTCCAGTTCACAGAAATTCTGAACGATCACTACCTAACACAAGTAAACCGAGTTCTAACTGTTATAATTAATGACGTAATTATTACGTGGACACCACGCGTGTGTCACGCAATTCTGCGAGCACATGGAATATTAAGGTCTTGTGTGGAAGTTCTGAGTAGAGCGAGTTAAGAAGTGATATATAATTTTTAAAAGTTTATTTTTGATTTAAAAACGAATTGAGTTCAATTATTCGAGTATAGTTCAATTTATTACATGGTCCTTCGAACTGGATATGTCTACCGAAAAGAGTAAAAGAGCAATTCGACGAGGAAATCGAGCTTTCGTAACGAAAGTTATTCAGACGGCAAATGACGCCATTGACAAGTTTGGTGGAACTCAGGCGGAGAAAGATGCGTTAGAGGGTTGTAAAATCACGTTAATCGATAAGAAAGAATCCATAAGAAAGCTTGATGAAGCTATTCTGAATGAAATTGAAGATGAAGAGAAGATTATGGAAGATATATTTCAGGCTGGCGAAGTGGGTGAGTCGATCAATAAAATGCTTGTTAAAATTGACAATGTTTTGAAAACAGTTGAAGCGAGCAGTGTGTCCTCGCCAGGGGGACTGGGTACAACCATGCCTAGCGTAAGTCAGCCAATGTACCCCTCATCAGCCAGAGCAAAATTACCAAAACTGTCCTTGAAGAAATTTGCTGGAAATCCTACTGATTGGCAATCATTTAACGATAGCTATAAAGCTTAATTTTAGTTTATTGTACGATCATCCAGATTAAAATTGTTTTATTATTTCTGACGTTTCGGCTACCTACACGGCAGCGATTATCAAAGACGTATTACAGTTACAAAAAAATTTTTACAGTTATAATAATGTTATCTTGCGTCAAAAACGACGTGCGCGTGTTCGTGATGTTGTTTGCTCGCGCCTGCGTTCAAGGCATGAGAGCCTGCGTTCATGCGCGATTAGTCCAGCGTATGCTCCTGGCATATCGCGGCAAATATGTCCTGAAAAAGCGTACAGTGACATTGAACGACACCTAGAAAGCAGTATACCCGGAGATTTGCTAGATGTAGTTAAGAATATCGCAACAGAACAATCTCGTAAAGTGAAAGAAGAGACGCATACACGTTTGAACGATAAATTACTGGCGCTAGAACAGAAAGTACATGTGAATAATAAACAGAAACCTCCTAGTAATTTTATAAAGAACATATCTAGCAGAGTTTTAGATGAGCATGAAAAGACCGTTTTGTCATATGGTATGAAACACTCGTTAGCACCAAAACGTTTACCCACGGCTAAGATCCTTGCGAGTGTAGAATCTGCTATATATCGAATCTTTCTGCGGAAGCGAAAGAAACAGTTCGGGCAAAGGTTGCGTCAACTCTTCAAACGAGTCAAAACCCAGTAAGCAATTTAACTAAGGCTGAACGAGAAGCATTGTCTAGGTTGCGAAAGGACGATTCGATTGTTATTACACCAGCCGATAAAGGTCGTGTAACCGTAGTGATGGATAAATCCGAGTACCACAAAAAAATGGATACTTTGGTGAATGACGGGAACACTTACAAAAAACTTAAGAGCGATCCATCAAAGAAATTACAACGTAACCTAAATCAAAAACTTTGGCCGTTACATTTAGCAAACATTATAAAGAAACCTTTGTACTCAAAACTTCGTTGTTCGGTTGCGCAAGCTCCAAAACTGTATGGTTTGCCTAAAATTCACAAGGAAAATACACCTATGAGACCAATCGTGTCGTTTTGTTCATCACCAACATATGAACTTTCAAAATATCTTGCACGCATTTTGAAGCCTTTAACAGAGCGCTCGGAACACCGCCTCGTGAATTCCGCAGATTTCATAACGAAAATTCAAGCGAGAGACGATCAGTGCCACTCATGAACTGGTCTCCTTTGATGTTAAGTCTTTATTCACAAGTATTCCATTAAAACTAGCAATTGAGTGCATGGAAGAGTCCTTAGCTAACTATGATGATGAACTTCCAATCCCGAAGGAAGAGATCATAGACCTACTCAAATTATGTTTAGAGTCTACATTTTTTCAGTACAACGGAAGTTTCTACCAACAACTTCATGGCACAGCAATGGGATCTCCAGTTTCCGTAGTCGTAGCAGAGATTGTAATGCAACGGTTAGAAGAACGAGCATTGTCCTCATACCCAAACCCACCACCTTTTTGGTTTCGCTACGTCGACGATACCTTGACGAGTGTCGATAAACATCAGAAAAACGACTTTCTTGACCACCTCAACAAGCAAAACCCCAGTCTACAGTTCACCATGGAACCTGAGAAAGATGGTAAGATAGCTTTCCTAGACTGCATGATAACCAGAGACGGCAATTCCCTTCAAACGAGTGTCTATCGAAAACCCACCAGCACCAGCCGTTTATTAGATAATTCATCCTACCACCCAACCTCGCACAAGTCAGCTACAATAGCAACCTTAGTGAAGAGAGCGCATGCAGTTTGCAGTTCTAGTGAAACCCTCGAAGATGAGTTGCAGCACCTTGATAAAGTTTTTACCATCAACAAATATTCTAAACCTTTTGTGAACAACGTAATTGAACATTCCCGGAAAACAACACCAACTACCGACGAAACTGAACGGAAGAAGACCATTGCCACCATCCCTTACATCAAAGGTACATCCGAAAGAATTGCAAGAATCCTACGACCTTTCAACATCAGTGTGGCTCACAAACCAACGGTAACGCTAAGAAATACCTTAACGAAAGTGAAAGATCCAACCAATACAAAGACCCGGATAGGAACAGTTTACAAAGTGACCTGCGCTGAATGCCCCGCAACTTATTTCGGTGAAACTGGACGTACTCTAGATTGTCGCATTAAAGAACATAAGCGATCAACAGAGAAACAAGACGTGGCGAATAGAATTGCGGTTCATCGTATGGAAACAAATCATAGAATTGATTGGGAGGGAGCCACTTGTATGGAGTTTAATGGTTTTGAGGATGAGAGAATGTTCTTAGAAAGTTGGTTTACAAAATGCGATGAAAACAGCATAAACATTTGCCGCGATATGCCAGGAGCATACGCTGGACTAATCGCGCATGAACGCAGGCTCTCATGCCTTGAACGCAGGCGCGAGCAAACAACATCACGAACACGCGCACGTCGTTTTTGACGCAAGATAACATTATTATAACTGTAAAAATTTTTTTGTGACTGTAATACGTCTTTGATAATGGCTGCCGTGTAGGTAGCCGAAACGTCAGAAATAATAAAACAATTTTAATCTGGATGATCGTACAATAAACTAAAATTAATGGAAAAACCCGGATTCAAGCCCTTCAGTGAGCTATAAAGCTGCTGTTCACACTAATGACAGTTTATCTAAAGTTGACAAATTCAACTACTTGAAAAGTCTGGTGGAGGGTCCGGCAGCTGCAGCAATCGCAGGGTTTTCGTTAACTGATAAAAACTATGAGACTGCTTTTAAACTTTTGGAAGAGAGATTTGCAAATCCACAAATTATAGTTTCCAGTCATGTTGAAGCCCTATTGAAGTTGGAACCTGTTTCTAATATACATGAAATTGTCAAGATTCGAAAGCTGTATGACAGTATTGAAACGCATATTCGTAGTCTAGCGAATTTGAACATAGAAAGTGAAACATATGGGACTCTTCTGATTCCAATGATTCTTGCTAAACTTCCAGAGGAAATGCAGTTGTTGATAAGTCGGAAGGTTGGCAAGGATAATTGGAAATTAGATGAGCTACTTAAGGAATTTAGAATTGAGTTAGAGGCTCGAGAAAGGTGCTTGTTGTTACAAAGCACTACAGAGAAAAAGGACGGTACCAGGAGAAAATATGAGCCTAGTACATCATCAGCACTTTTCACGGGAAGTGACAATCGTTCAACTCAGAAATGTACGTACTGTGGGGAACAACATTTATCATCACGGTGTAATATAATTACAGATATTTCAGCACGTAGAGCTATTCTCCGAAAAAAGGGACGGTGTTTTGCATGTTTGAAGTCTGGTCATATAGTCAGACATTGTCCTTCCAAGTTTAAATGCCCGAAATGTGGAAATAACCATCACATTTCTCTCTGTGAAGGTATAAAACCAAGGGAGGACCCTACCAAACCCAACCAGAATCAAAATCAACAACCACCCTTTCAGGCCAAGGGAAATGAAGCATCAACTAATGTTTGTGCAAACAGCAATGTCTCGGTGCTTTTGCAAACTGCAAAGGCTATGGTGGGAAACCCTAATATCCCCCAACAGCAGAAATTGCAATCGAGAATTGTTTTCGATTCCTGCAGTCAGAGATCTTATATATCAAATCGGCTGAAGAATTCATTGGGTGTCAAACCTGTTAATAAACAATCCCTTTTGGTTAAAACATTTGGCAATGACTCCCCAAAATTGATAACGTGTGATCTAGTCCAAGTCTCTATTACAGCCACTGATGGCTTAGAATTGTATGTCAATGACTTTAGTGTCCCTGTAAATGTAGTCCGATTTCTAACCAAGCAGTAGAAGTAGCAGTGGATAAATACCCGCATTTAAATGGTTTAGACTTAGCAGATAACAGTAGTCCTTCTAGTGATGTCGACATTGACATTCTAATTGGAGCTGACTTCTATTGGAACTTTGTGTCTAATGAGTCAAGAAGATGTGAAGGACGTGGACCTGTTGCCCTGTCAACTAGGCTAGGTTGGGTTTTGTCTGGTCCCATTGATAACCTTAGTGAAGAATCTAGTTCCACAACCAACTTCACTTCGCTGCAACTCATGTATTACGGATTGATGCTACCCCAGTTCAGGATAACCTAAACCCGAACATGACTGAGCAACTTAATAAATTTTGGGAGTTAGAGTTTATAGGCATTCAGAGTGACGAAAGTTCAGTCTATCACAAGTTTGTTGAAGA